AGTGACTGAGGCCAGACTGGGGACGTTCCTTGGGGGCAGGTTCTAGGGTGCTGGGATAGGGCACAGCCATCCGGACCTTCCACTCACTTCCTTTGGGCTATAGGCAGATGTTCATCTTATGGACACTTGCAGATCCTCATAGCCAGTGTTTCTTCCCTGGGGCTGCTGAGAAGGTGAAAACCACCCTTAATGACTGTGATACTGACAGGCACGGCCACCCGTCGGCTGTCTGTGTCAGAGGCTTAATTCTAGGCTGTGCTCATTTTCTTACCACAGCTTTTCAGAAATAAGGGGGGCGGGCAGAGAAAGAGGGAGAGAGAAAGAGGGAGGGAGAGAGAACCAGGCTCGGGGCAGACAGGGAGAGAAAGGAGAGCTGAGAGTGGCTTAAGTGAGCCCGGTGCTGTCCTGGGCACAGGTGGCCCTTGCTGCTGCAGGGTGTGGCCGCTTGCTGCACACATGGGGCAGAACAGCACTTGCTTGTGGAGCAGATGCGCGTGGAGGTTGGTCTGCTGCCCCTGCCTGCCCCTGGCTGGCCTGTCGTTTGCTCTGGCCGTTAGAAGTGGTGGAAGCAGCACTCAGGGCTGGGCTTTGACCCGCCGGGCTCTCCCTCTTCTGCAAACCCCTGTTGGCGCCGGGTCTCCTTGACTTGGATGTACGGAATCGGATCCCTGGCCTTGGAGTCTGCATTTGGACAAGCCCCAGGAGGATGAAGAGCCAGGTTGGGGCTGCCTCCTGCCTGCCCACTCAGCCACCTGTTGGATTTAGGAACCCCCTCCGCAAAGCCCTCCCAGCCTGCCGGGGCCACCCTAGTGCGTCCCGTCCCTCACCTCATCCCTCGCCTCATCCCCATTTCTACCTGCCTGGTGTTCGAATTACGTTTCTCTGTCGCCCCAGGACTGTCCAGCTGAGCAATGCCTTCCTAGGGCCCAGCCCAGGCCTGTACCCAGGTGTGCTCGGGGCACATGCACAGGTGCATCCTTGTGCAGGGTGTGGGTGTGGGCTAAGTGCCCCCAGGGGTCTGACATGGGGTTAACAGTCTCAGACTCTTTTGAGAGGTGGGCGGGCCCGGTCTGGTCAGGGGACAGCATTTTATCCTCAAGGAGCCACCAGAAAAGTGGTGAGGGACAATATGGCTTTATACGACCATATGGGCCTGAGCCTGAGCCCACCTGGATGAGGATTCTAGGGGATAGCCAAGGAGGGACCAGACGATGTTCCTGGTGCTGCTGACCAGCACCATGGTCCCTCTGCCCTTTGCCAAGCACATTTCCTGTCTCATGTCCTCAAATTCTCATAACCTGAGGAAGACGCTGTAATGATTCCCACTTTACCACCAAGCAAGAGGCCCAAGTACCTTGCCCAACACCATGCAGCTACAAGGTTGTGGAGCTGGGGCTGGAATGCCTGCAGGTCTCACAGCAACTCCCACAAGCTCTCTTCCTCCCCGCTGAGGGATGAGCCCACCCCAGCAGGTGTGGTCACTTGTGTGCCTCCAGGGAGGGTTTTGACTGGCACCTTTTTTTTTTTAAAGTACAGTTTTTTTTATTTTTTATTTTAATTTAATGTTTAGCTAGAAAATTATTTTCTCAACCTAGAAATGAAGGAAAACATCACAAATTAAATTTAAAGTCAATTGGTAAGGAACAAATTTAACACTCAAAGATTAACATCTTTAATGCAAAAAGAACTCAAAAATGAATTAGAAAAATCTAAGCAGGAATTTGGTGAAGGACAGGAGATAAGTCACACACCCGGGGCGGCCCGTGGCTCACTTGGGAGAGCGTGGTGCTGATAACACCAAGTGAAGTGTTAAGATCCCCTTACCGGTCATAAAAAAATTGAAAAAAAAAAAAAAAAAAGGTCACACAACCCAAAGAAACATTTGTGGCTGGTAAGTACGTCCTAAGATGTTGTTGCAGGGGGTGGGAGGATGGGGCTGGCCCTCAGCTCCTGTCTCAGGACCCCGGGCGGCTGGCTCCTGACTGGCACTTTCTATTCAAGGCAAAGCAAGCCATCAGTCCTGAGCTGTCTGTGCCAACAATGTGCCCACGAAGGGAGAGGAAATAACAAGAGGAACTGGTTGTCAGACTTAATCCTGATCAAGAGGGAGGACCTGACAGGGACTATAGAAGTGACCATGAGAACAGCTGAGCACCACTGTCAGAAGAGAATTAAGAGAAGTCCAGAGAGAAGGCCAGTGGGGCTGTGGCAAGAGGCTCTCAGGGGAAGGGTGAATTGCAAATCTGTTTCAGAAGCACTTGCTCTTGTCTTGTTTTGTGGCGGCTGGTGGGTACGGGGATCCAAACCCTTGACCTCAGTGTTATTAGCACTGCACTCCACCAAGTGAGGGGCTCACAGCTTGTGAATGCTCAAAACGGGAAAGGAAAAGCAAAATGAAAATGCGCACACTGGGTCCACTGGTTTTGTGAGAAATGTTATCCGTATCACAGAAAAAAGCACATTGGGAGGAAATATATCAAAACGCTGTCAGTAGCTACCTGTAACAAAGCATTTTTACTTTTTCTTTATATTTTTGTTTTCAGATTTTTTCATTTTGAACATGAATTTTGTTTTTTGAACATTTATGACTGGCAAATGTATATAAAAAAGACACTTTTGAAGGATAGAAAAATAAAAATGCGGACAACTACCTACTAATGCCAAGTGAGGGGCTCACAGCTTGTGAATGCTCAAAACGGGAAAGGAAAAGCAAAATGAAAATGCGCACACTGGGTCCACTGGTTTTGTGAGAAATGTTATCCGTATCACAGAAAAAAGCACATTGGGAGGAAATATATCAAAACGCTGTCAGTAGCTACCTGTAACAAAGCATTTTTACTTTTTCTTTATATTTTTGTTTTCAGATTTTTTCATTTTGAACATGAATTTTGTTTTTTGAACATTTATGACTGGCAAATGTATATAAAAAAGACACTTTTGAAGGATAGAAAAATAAAAATGCGGACAACTACCTACTAATGCTCCTGACTAAAAAAAAGCCGTTTCTTAAGTAGAGAAGAAAGTTAAAAAAAAAAAAAAAAAGTAAAGAGTTGATACAAGGGATGGCTCCCTGAGGTCCAATTCTAGAGGATGTGTCTTAGGACAGACTCAGACTGAGAGACTGTGGCCACAAAGAATACCCCAGGGGCTGGGCTCTCCCTGTGACTGGAGGATAGACACAGGAGAGGAGTCTAGCAAAAGTCATCGACACACACACACACACGCACGCACGCACGCACGCAAAACCACTGAAGGCATCTGAATTTTCCCTAAAGGGAATGGTTGAATAACTTGTGGCAAACCTACACAAAGTATCATGGAAGTTATCCAAAGAACTAATCAGATGCATATAGATCTACAGACCTGGAAGACAGTGTATGATTGAAAAGGGAGAAAAAGCAAGTTGCAGTGAAAGGCACTTAATACCTTTACAAATGCCCCAAAGCCCAGTAAGTGGGTAGGTGTGTTGAAATGTGCTGGCAGGCGCCTGGGGAAAGGTGGGAATAAAGGTTGAGCATTCCTATTCCGAAAATCCAAAACTTTTTGAGTGCTGACATGGCAAAGGAAATGCTCACTGGAACATTTTGGACTTCAAATTTTTGGACCAGGGATAGCCAACGGTATGTATTCTGCAAATATTCCAAAATCTGAAAAAATCTGAAATCCAAAACACTTCCAGTCCCAAGCATTTTTTATTTTTTGGTGGCTGGCTGGTACATGGTCCCAAGCATTTTGGGTAAGGAATACTCAGCCTGTTATCACAAAGGTTAACTGGAACAGATTTTGGAAAAAAATATGTAGCAGAAGGGGAAAATAGCTTTTACTTATTTATTGAAAGTGCAGAGTCTATGATATTGTGCAAATACGTAAAATACAGAACATGCACAGGAACAGGGACTGGATGGCATGGATAAATTAAAAAATACACACTGATTATACAGAAGCTGGGAATGTGGGTAACTTGTGTAGTGAAACTTTTATTTCAGTAAACTTTTTCTTAGACCTGCCCCCTCCCCCAAACAAGTTAAATTGTTCAATAAAAATTTGCAAATGACAGACGATAGCCCCATGTTTTATTAAAGTGTATGTGCTCCTCCTGTATTTGGAGGTCCTGGCTTCCTCTCTGCCTAGTGCCAGCTCTCAGACCTTGGGGCCAATGCCTGGCTGGACAGGCTGTAGCAGGAGGTGCCGACTCCAGAGAGTAAGAGGTTGTGCTGCCAGGGAGGGGTGATGCACATTTTTTTCTTTCAGTTTTTAAATTTTTCACTAAGTGCAAATACTAGTTTTCTCTCTCCAGTTTTTTTTTTTGACAGCTGGTGGTACAGAAATCTGAACCCTTGATCTTGGGTTCTAACACTGCTCTAACCAATTCAGCCACCCCTCTCATTTTAAGACAAGTAAAATGGGATGGCTGCTGGGTACCATGTCACCACAGGGAGCAAGCCCCCAAGAGGGTTAAGGTGCCAGCGCAGTGCTGCTTGTCCCGACAGGCTGCAGCCCCTCCAGCTGGGCAGGGCGCTAAATGCTGTGGCTTCTCAGCCAAGATGCTTCCTGTTCTTGGAACTCTGTCCCCTTCTCAGCTGGATGGGGCTTCTCACATTCACACCTGACGTCCCGTGTCTGCTCTCGGGGGGGCCAAACTGGCCCTGTCTAGGGAAGGGGCCTGGAAGAGAGGCTGACTGCCCTTTTGAAGGGGAGTCTGTGCTGAAAAATCAAAAATTAAACCTTTTGTGCCCAATCTGGGCCTCAGTAGCTGCGCAAGCAGGATTTGCGTAACAGATCTCCCCATCTTCCTCCCTGGCAGAAGAGGTGGGAAAACTTACTCTCCAGGCTGGGCCGCTCCTGTAGGGACTGTCCAGTACTTCCTCTCCGGGGAGGTGAGTGCTGCTAGTTTAGATCGAATCACTCCCAAGGAATCTGTCAGTGAAGGCTGCCAGGCTGTCTGCTGCAGCCCCTGTAATTTGCCTGATTGTGCCATGCACAGAAATGAAACCAGAGGGAACAGAGCGCACAAACATTTATTTACAAAAAGTCCAAGTTACATATGATACAGGCTTTTTACACACAGTAGTCAAGACAGAATTATTTTATGTATTTTTACTACCAGAAGGTAAAGAAAAAAATTTAATAAACTACTTAATCTTTTCTATTTTTATACAAAGTGACAGGTCATGCACACTTTCAGTTTTTAAATCTTTTGCTAAGTGCAAATACTAGATTCCTCTCTCCAGTTTTAAGGCAAGTAAAACGGGACTGTTACTGGGCAGTCTGTTGCCCTGGGGAGCAGGCCCTGTGGCCCAGAGGGTCAAGGTGCCAGCTGCCTCAAGGAATCCTGCTTGTTCCCTGACAGGGGCTGACCTCTGGGCTCCTGGTGATGACACCTACGCAGCCACTGGTCAGAGGACCACCAGCCCCTCTCTCTCTAACCCCATCATTAGTACAGGCAGGAAGAGCCCAAGGTCCAGGCCCATCCCTGGAACACTGAGGTGCCTGGAGGGCTGAGGTGGTCCCTTGCGGCCACTTCTGGAAACAGCAACTATGCTAGTCTGTAGCCTTGTGCGTGGTCTGCAGGCCGGCTCTGGGAAGATCATTAAGAACCAGACACCTTCAATGGAGAAAGGCAGCAGTTCCCTCCCTAGCAGCCAAGTGTGGCCAGAAGCAGAAGTCATCTCAAAGGACACATCCTCTAGTCTCCCTTCTCTCCATGCCACGGCATCTTGCTAGGTGCAGTGGCAGTGCCACCTGCCTGGGGCTGTCCTTGTAGCTGCCCTAGAAGCATCTAGTCCCCATGTCCTGCCTTGGCCCCCAATGGAGCCATACGACCAGGTGCAGGGCAGCTGGAACTGGGGTCACAGGCCAACAGGGTGGCTCAAGATGCCTTGGAGGGACAGCACTTGAGGTCACCTCCCTATCCACTAGGATATCTGCTGCTGGTCTCTGCTCTTAGAGATTCTCTCTGGGGAAACATACGGAATAGGCATTTAAGGTTGAGGACTGTCACTGCCGCATGGAGCCCACCTTTCCAAGGCACTATCTTTCAGGCTAGTAGCCAAGTTCAGGCAGCCCATCAGGGGTCTCCCCCGTGTGCCCCCAACTGGCCCAGGCAACCGCCTGTCTTCAAAGCCTCCATTCTGAGGAAAGGCAGAAAGAACAGGCATCTTAGGAGACCCTTTCCCCACTTTAATCCTTGCAATACATCTGAGAACCAATGGCAGCGAGTGACGGTGCCTGCCAGCCCTGGACACACTGGGTGGTGCTAGCCCCTGCGGCAGGAGGGCAGAGTGCCACACAAGGGGACCACATGCAGTGCAGCCCCACAGGTCACGGGGCACCCCCATCTCTGAGTTATGTGCACTTTGAACCCCCTGGAACCCTACGGCAACATAAAGACAAGGACAAGGAAGGCCAATGCGGAATGAGAAAGTGACGTCTGCTGCCAGCAGGGCTGGCTCCCTGTGGAGCAGTCTGAGGCTTTAGGCCTCTGCTGGGCAAATGGGCCTGGAGTGATGCCTCAGATGTGGCTAAAGCCCTAGGCGGGACAGGTGGTGAGGAAGGTGAATGAGACCAGGCAGGGCCTCTGTGCACATGCCCAGAGCTGACTTCCATCTGACTTCAAGCAAGGGCAGCTGCCCTCACACCCCAGGGTGCGAGGATGTCACCCTCTACCTGCCTTCACCAAAAACTACTGAGAAAATATGTAGGAGGGAAGAGCTGCCCTCAGGCACCCAGTAAGGTGGCATTCTGGTCATCTGTACCCTTAGGGAAGCTCACCCCCTTATCCCCCACTGCCAAATAACTTCAGGGGAAAAGCTGTTCATTACCCAGTTTGTGGCAGAGAAGTCCCCCCCGATGAATGGGCTGCCTGGGAGGGCCACCAGGCCTCTGTGACAGCCACCTCAAGAGGATCTTTTGTTTGGCCAAAGTTACAGGACCATCCAGCCCTCAGCAGCTGCCTGGCATGGGGAACCGATTTCTCAGTTTGACTTTATAGAGACTGAGGAAGAGAAACTCTAGACCATGGAAAGCTGGGCAAATTCAAAGTGAGTCAACAGGAGCAAACATTTGTGTGGATAAATGGCAGAACAAATCCCATACCATGAGATGGTTCTCGGCTGCCATCTGATCTGAATGGGCCTTAAGAGGGAAGAGGAGAGACCCTGAATGGTCCTCATTGTGGCATTGGGCTCTGGACTTAGGCATCGAGGGAGATGTCTGTGACTGTTTCATTCCCCAGGGCTCAGCTCCAAAGAGGAACAGCAGGGGCCCTGGACCCCTGAACCATGGGCATGGAGCAGAAGGGCCATTCCTGGAGGGCCTTGGCTGGGGGTGGCAGTTCAAAACTGTCAGCTCTCTCCAAGCTCCACTATTCGCTATTTCATCATGACTGTGGTTCTGTCTGTGCTGCGGTAATGAAGGCCTATGTGGTTTTTCATTCTCACAAGCTTCTCCTGTTGTCTGCTATGGGAAGAGGAATGGAGGTAAATTATTTCCTCTTCATCTCCTTCTGCAGGGACAAAGCAGAGACAGGGCTACCTTGTAGCCAGGGTCACTGGGCTGGCCGCTAAAATGGTAGAACTCTTCAGGAGGAGGTTTCACTGCCCCCTTATCTCTGGCTCAGTAAGAGCCAGACCAATCCTGTAACAGGCACCCAGAGGCCACCAGCTGTGGCTACTCTTTAAGGAGCAGTGGCCCTTCCCAAGAAAGGAGTGGGAAGAATACCAGCCCATTCTCGAGAGCCAAACCCGTCACCCCTACTTAGCAGGCAGCGCCACAGTCCTGGGGGAGAGGAGGGTTCTCTATCCTACACTCCCCACCAGGCACTGAGTGTGAGACTGCTCAATGGGGGTTTGGGGGGTAGGCTGGGCTTTGGGCCGTCAGAAGCGATGCCGCGGCTGGGGGCCAAAGTGCATGGGCAGGTTGTGCTCCAGGGGCATGTGCATAGGGCCAAATTCATAGTTGACACGCACGTTCGGTAGTGGGGGTACGTAGGGTGCTGGGATGGGACCCATGTTGAGTGGGAAGTTGTCAAACATGGGCCGCACGGGCGGCAAGGGGAAAGGCGGGTGCACGAAGGCGTAGGGTGGCATCTGCGGCGGGTGCAGGTTCTGCGGGACGGGCCTTGGGAGGGCTTCCATCCTCTGTACCTTCTCAGGGGGCTTCTCCAGCGGGGGACCGATGCGTTTGCAGGTGTTTTCTGAAAGGGAGATGGGACTTAGTTGAGAAAGACAGGTTACACCAACTCCACTGAATCCAGCCTGGGACCACAACAGCGTACAGGAACCCTGGGCCCCGCCTGGAGCTGAGGGACTGAGGGGAGCCTGGAGCGTGTGTTGTGAGGAATGACCTCTGACCTGCAGCATGTTCTTACTTCTGGACACAGTTAAGAACACTCTACAGCAAGAAGGCTGACTAAATCGCAAAATGTAAAAGGCACTCCCACCCCCACTGTCACTATAAGAAACCAAGAACAAGAATATACTTCCCAAGGAGTATCACACTTCACGGTGGCACCTTGGAAGGCTGTTTGTACAGCTCAGTACGTCTGCGTGAGACTTTCCTTTAGAGCCAGAGCCTTGAGGAGCCATGTCCATTTCATTCTTTTCTTAACCTCGAATCCACCCCTTGAGACTTCCTCACCATTGAGATGCCAAAACTGCATCCAAGGCTCTGATGGCCTTCCCCTAAGCCTTAGTGGTAGCTGCACAGGTGGAGTCATGTAAAGCCACCTGAGAGGCAGCACCCCCCCCAGCTGGGTTAAATGCCAGGATCCCCAGAGGGGGCCAGCAGCAGGAGCCCCTAGGTGGTCCTCTGCTCTGCTCCCTTCTGCACCTGAGAGCACTGGGCACAGGGCCATGTGGCAGGGCCTGTTGCTCTGTTGCCGGGGAGAGCACTTGCCTCCATTCTTTCTTTTTTGTTCCTCTTCAGCCTCCTTCTGGATTTCCTCAATTAGCTTCTCATCATCTTCCTAGAATAAAAGCAACAGGAAGGATGAGCTTGTAGCTCCATGCAGTGCTGAGGCCCATGGGACATAGGGAGGCCAGCCTGCTGCTAGTCAGCAGAGGGACTAAGCCAGTCCTGCTGCTACACTGTGGGAGCCTGGGCCTGTACAATGGTCATTCTCATTTGCCTGAGAACCTTCTTTCTTCAACTGAGTGGTGTTCCCACGAGGAAGCCCAAAGAAAGGTGTGTGGGGTGTGTGCACATGCACGGCAGGTGCTGCCTGGGGGTGGGCGAGCACCTGTTCTGTTTACTACGCTGTATGGCGAGCAGAAGGAGAACTTCCGATAATCTGGAGGAAGGCAGGGGTGGGGTCTGGGGAGTCGGGCCTGAGAAGTTTCAGACTCCAAGTCTACAAACTCTGAGCACAGCAGCCCTTTGTGCAAGCCCAGAGAAGTCTTGCCAACTCCCGGAAAGGAGTTCTGAAGCTAGCCTTTAGCTCCTGCATGGCGGTGGGCTGTAAAAGGAGCAACACCCCTGCAGTAGAACAGCGGCGTGGCTCGATCTAAGAGAAAGGAATGGCACGGCAGTTTAGGAACGATTCCTCTAAGACCTTGCTGTCTCCCCTTCCCAAACTCAACACTTGGTAGGCCCAGAATAGATAAATACAATTCAAACTTGGGTTATCCCAGACTGGGACAGGAGCCCAAGAGGCTCTTTGAGTACAGGCAGATGTGTGAGCAGTCCTCAGGGAAGCTCAGGGGCCACACTGGGCAAGGCCAGGTGTCCAGGTTTGTACCACATACAGTTCCCACATTCACCTTGGTGGGAGAACTGGGCTGCCACCAAAGGCCAGACCACCCTCACCTACACCTGCTCCATGTAGTGGTGCTGAGGTTCAACTTACTCTTCAGTGGCCCCACAAAGAGGCTTTCCAGTTTATCATGGGACTGAAAAAACACTCACTGGATTGAAAAACACCTAAGATGGTGCACATCTTTCTTTCTTTCTTTCTTTTTTTTTTTCTTTTTTGTCTTTTTTACTGACCGGTAACGGGATTGCAACCCTCGGTGTTGCGCCCGTACCGGGGACCGGCAACGGGATCGCAACCCTCGGTGTTGCACCCGCACCATGCTCGGCCAGTGAGCGGGAACTGGTCTCCACGTGGGATCCGAACCCTCGGCGGGAGCGCTGCCGCGCTCCCAAGCAGAGCACTCTCCAGTGCGCCACCGGGCCGGCCCATTTCTTTCTTTCTTTTTAAAAGAGGACTGGTAAGGGGATCTTAACCCTCGACTTGGTGTCAGCACCACGCTCTCCCAAGTGAGCCAACCGGCCATCCCTATATAAGGATCCGAACCTGTGGCCGTGGTGTTATCAGCACCGCACTCTCCCAAGTGAGCCACGGGCTGGCCCCTTGGCCAGGTCTTCTGAGCAAGGCATGGGGAAGAAGAGAGGTGACAAAGGTTCCAGCATACATTTCAGAAGGTGCAAAATGCCCATGCACATCACAGAACCCTAAGTTTGGGAGATATCCTGTGGGCACCCTGTCATCTCTAGGAAAACCCCAAGACATGGTCACCTATCCTTTTTGTGAACACTCCACACGGGGGAATTTACTACCCTACAAAGTAATCACTAAGCAAATCAACATAAAGGGCTTCGGTAACTCAATAGCATTTGGTGGACACAGTTTGAAGGTCTCCATGTGAATGTTGAGATAAATTCTACAAACTGTCTAGATTAGGAGCCAGCAAAGCCATTTTGGAGCCAGTGGCAGGGGAAAAAAAAGTATAGGAATGTGATTGAGAAAAGCTGGAAGCAGGAGGGTATGGATCATACCCCTCGGCTCAGTGACCTTAGGCAAGTTCCTGAATATTTCTGTCTCTTGGTACCTCATCTGTAAAATGGGTCATTGTAAGGACTGAATGAGCTGAAGTATGTAAAGACTTCTTAGCACAAAGTAAGTAGGCTCATGATTAAGGGACAGGAAAACTGTGAAAAATGGCTCGAATAAAGATTTTAGAAAGATGATTAGTTTTAATCTTTTCTTTTTTTTGGACTGATAAGGGGATTGCAAACCTTCGGCATGGTGTGGTCTGCACCATGCTCAGCCAGTGCTGAGAACCCGCGGCCTCGGAGCTACCAGCGCCACACTCACCTGAGTGAGCCATGGGGTCGGCCCAAAAGATGATTAGTTTTAAGAAGTGGCACAGATTGGGAGAGGCCCCAATATTTCTTCCAGTAGTTTCTTTATGGGTTTGAGTAAGACAGTGCCCTGACTCTGGTCATTTATTAATTATAACTCTTAGTACACCACCACCACCACTACCTCATCCCTCCTCTACCACATCACCTAAAAGGAGTTATGCCTGTCAGTCCCCAGAGGGACATGTAAAGCCTATGATGGCACAAGAAGGTACCAAAGCAATCACTCATTCGAACTTCTTTATAGCACGGAAGCTGAGGTCCTAGAGAAAGTAACTTGTTCAAAGTTAATGGCTGGTGGGTGGTTGACTAGGACATATGCTTCATATATCCCAGAGTGTCACTCAAATAATTTTCCTGGAGAAAATCCACAGAAAAGATATTCTGGAGATTCCCCTGTCCCCATCACTTATTTGACAGTTTGGTGGTATATTCATCCTTTCATTTAGACACATGTATTGAGTGCCCACTATGCATCAGGCACTGTGTAGACTGCTGGAGATATAACAAAGAATGAGGCAACCTTGGTCCCCCTCCCCTCATGGAGCTTACATTTTTGTGTTGTGACCACAGTTTTAGCTGGCATTCCACTTTGGAATTCCACATGGGCTTAAAGGGTAATTTCAGCGCACTAAAGACGAACAACCACTAACCTATTCTCCTCAGATTCTCTCATGACATTTCTGTTAGGATAAATGAAAGATTCCAAGCCCCTTGTGGCACTGCTCAGGGTATGATCATGCAGAACACTTGCCCGATTTTTATCACTAAGCTTCCTGTGATAAATCCGAATGCTCCTGAATAAATCCAATTTAAGAACTCCCTCAGGAGGGTCTGGGGCACTTGCACAGGTGAACATGAGTTGAGCTTTCTGATACAAATCTGGCAGCTCCTGGAGGACAGACCAGCAAGGTCTATCTGCTGGCAGGTCCCTGGCTTGCCATTCAGAGTTCTTCCTGGAGAGGAGGGGGAGTCTCAGAGTCCCGAGGAAATGAAGCTGAGCTGTGTTCTTCACCTTTTGCAGAGAGCCACTGCAGAGCTTTTCTTCTGATTCCTCTCTCTGCTCTGATCACTCTCCTGATGTGGTTAGTGGATCAAGAGCGTTTGTCCTGGGCCGAGGCCATGGCGCACTAGGGAGAGTGCAGCGCTGGGAGTGCAGTGACGCTCCCGCTGCGGGTTTGGATCCTATATAGGACTGGCCGGTGCGCTCACTGGCTGAGCGTGGTGTGGGCGACACCACACCAAGGGTTGCGATCCCCTTACCAGTCACCGTCTTTTTTCGTGACCGGTAACGGGATCGCAACCCTTGGTGTGGTGTCGCCCACACCACGCTCAGCCAGTGAGCGCTGTGAGCGCACCAGGTCTTTTTTCGTGACCGGTAACGGGATCGCAACCCTTGGTGTGGTGTCGCCCACACCACGCTCAGCCAGTGAGCGCTGTGAGCGCACCAGGTCTTTTTTCGTGACCGGTAACGGGATCGCAACCCTTGGTGTGGTGTCGCCCACACCACGCTCAGCCAGTGAGCGCTGTGAGCGCACCAGGTCTTTTTTCGTGACCGGTAACGGGATCGCAACCCTTGGTGTGGTGTCGCCCACACCACGCTCAGCCAGTGAGCGCTGTGAGCGCACCAGGTCTTTTTTCGTGACCGGTAACGGGATCGCAACCCTTGGTGTGGTGTCGCCCACACCACGCTCAGCCAGTGAGCGCTGTGAGCGCACCAGGTCTTTTTTCGTGACCGGTAACGGGATCGCAACCCTTGGTGTGGTGTCGCCCACACCACGCTCAGCCAGTGAGCGCTGTGAGCGCACCAGGTCTTTTTTCGTGACCGGTAACGGGATCGCAACCCTTGGTGTGGTGTCGCCCACACCACGCTCAGCCAGTGAGCGCTGTGAGCGCACCAGGTCTTTTTTCGTGACCGGTAACGGGATCGCAACCCTTGGTGTGGTGTCGCCCACACCACGCTCAGCCAGTGAGCGCTGTGAGCGCACCAGGTCTTTTTTCGTGACCGGTAACGGGATCGCAACCCTTGGTGTGGTGTCGCCCACACCACGCTCAGCCAGTGAGCGCTGTGAGCGCACCAGGCAACACTGAGGGTTGCGATCCATTGCCGGACACGGAAAAAGACAAAAAAAGGAAAAAAAAAAAAAAAGAAAAAAGAAAATATTATACTTTCAACCAATATGTTAGACTCTAAGGGGAAGATTTCTTACTTCATTTGGGGTGGGAGTTTCTTCCACGAGCAGTTCCCCTTAAGCATGTGAAATTCCTTAAGAGAGAAGGCAGACTGAATTGTACACTTAAAAATGGCAACTTTTAGGGCCCGCCCGTGGCTCACTTGGGAGAGTGTGGTGCTGATAACACCAAGGCCACGGGTTCGGATTCCTATATATAGGGATGGCCGGTTAGCTCACTTTGGAGAGCATGGTGCTGACAACACCAAGTCAAGGGTTAAGATCTCTTATCAGGCATCTTAAAAAAAAAAAAAGAAAGAAAAGCAACTTTATCTCATATTTTACCACAACTAAAAAAATTAATAATGTTTAAGAAAGGAGGGAAGAAACGTTTATGGTTGATTTTGAGGCTAAACATGAAGACTGGTCCCTCATCACAACATCTTGGGTTTGGGCTGAGTGAAAGATAGGGCTATCGAGTTCTCCTCTGGAAGCGAGCTCCCCTGGGTAACATTTGAGGCATACTGAGTATCATCATTCTGGTGACATAAAAAAGGCTTGACATGTTGTAAATCTAGGACACACCAAGGCTGCTGGAAAGGGGGACAATAGGAGGGAAGGAGATGATGAGAGGCCAGGTGCTGAGCCAGAT